TTTGGAGTAAAACAGTGTTACCACTTTATCTGTGTACTCTAGTAGCTCAACGTTTTTGCTGTTTAAACTTTAGAAGTTTAAAAAAAAAAAGACTACTTTTTTTTACTAAAATTGATTAAACTTGACTAAAACCTTTTGGTGTTTTTGTCGACTAAAACTTGACTAAAACCTTTTGTGTTTTCGTCGACTAAAACTTGACTAAAACTATTAAGTTTATAAGTGACTAAAATGTGACTAAAACTTAAAAGCATTTTCGTCCAAAAGACTAAGACTAAAACTAAAAGGGCTGCCAAAAACAACACTGGTTGTGGCAGATTTTCAGTCTCAATTCAAATCATCAAAGTCTGGTTCAGGTCTTGAAAAAATTGTGCAGAGTCAAGGTTTCAGGTCTCAGAAGAAGTTAATTTATTTGAGTAGGTCAACAAAGTGAGATGTGGCCAAGCATCTAATTTTACAATGGTCTGCACACATTCATTCTTATACCTTGTGGTACCCAATTAGCGCTCAAATTGTATCTTTTCTCTCTTTTCTCCTCCTTATTACTCCTCCCAGATTAAAAACACCTGCATCATCATTTTACTTTTAATTGGGACAACCTTCTTTGCGCATGCTTATCATTTCTTTTTAAAAAATGGACATCTGTATTAGTGTCTTTTTACACAATGGGCTCCTGTATTAGTATCTTTTTACACAATGGGCTCCTTGTTTCAGTACGCTTTTCTCTGTGGCACATTGTTACATTGTATACAATTTGTTTCTCTCCCAGTGCCTTCCAATACCTGCATCTGTGCTACAAGTGTTTTTTTTTGGGGGGGGGTACTTTTCCACTCTCTCGTCCCTGTCCTCATGTGCCCTATGATCCTAGTTTTTTTTCTGCTTGGCATTACATCACATGCACGCTTCTTTCACATGTACATAGGACAAGCAGAATTCTCCAACAAGGGGTGGGCAAATAATGAATTTTAATTATAGGGTAAAACTACCCCTTTAATGTTTACATACCAAGAAATATAAGACGTGAACTCTGGCAAATGTAGATTGCTGGACATCAGAGTTGCAAAGTCCTGAAACAATTTTTACAAAGGACAGCACAACCATGATCAACAGAACCTAAACATTAAATATAGGCCTATTACATATGAATGAGATTTGTTGAATAATCTCCGCTTATCTGCTTCAATGTTAACACCAGTATCCTTCAATTTCTCTTTGAAGTGTGCGAGTAGTTGTAGGACCATGGGCATAGCAATCAGAAATACTACATTTGAAAACAGCTGGAACATGGATTTTAATGTGCTGGCAAAATGCTGACACATGATTCAAAGGACAATCACAGAACTGACAGCATTTTTGTTACCACATAGCAAGATAGACTATGTAAATGCCATTAACTTCTGTTAGCACTGGACCATCATCAGATTACAAAGCCTGAAACGAAAAAAAAATATATATATTTCAAAGGCAGGTCATGCAAATAACATGGTAAATGTTTCCAAATATGTGAAATATCGTACTTGGTAAAATGGTGGAATAGAGTAAATTTTTTTTCACAGCAAACCACGTCAAAAACAAACCGGTAACACTTTATTTGAAGGGGTGTGCATAAGACTGACATGACACTGTCATAAACATGACATAACACCTGTCATGAACATGAAGGAGTCTTTATGAATGTTTATGACTTTTGTCATTAAGTGTCATTCGTTAAATTATGACACTTCTAATGCAAAGTTGACATTGTTTAAAATGTCTTTTTTATGACAACTTGACATTAACCAAGACAAAAATGTCTTAATTATGACAACTTGACATTAACCAAGAAAGAAATGTATTTGTTATGACAACTTGACATTAACACAGACAGAAATCTATTTGTTATGACAACTTGACATTAACCAACAAATGAACAGGTCTAATTATCAAACTTAAAGAAGTTTTTTTTAGCTTTGTATTAACATTACATTACCCTGTCATATGTGGTTGGTTTTCACTTTGGCCGTCATGACACCATAACTCTGTCATGAATATTTTACTTGTCCTCAAGTAAAGTGGAACACATTGTACTAGTTACAAAGATGTCATTAAGGGTTATTACACTGTCAAATGCTTTAACAACAGTGTCATTAATATGTCCCTTTACCTCAAGTAAAGTGGAACACGTTGGACTAGTTATAAAGATGTCAGGTTGACAGGTTATGATTTCTTGGTTAATGTCAAGTTGTCATAACAAAGACATTTCTGTCTTTGTAAATGTCAAGTTGTCATAATCACGACATTTTTGTCTTTGTTAATGTCAAGTTGTCATAACAAAGACAATTTAAACAATGTCAACTTTGCATTAAAAGTGTCATAATTTACCGAATGACACTTAATGACAACAGTCATAAACATTCACAAAGAATACTTCATGTTCATGACAGGTGTTATGTCAGTCTTATGCACACCCCTTCAAATAAAGTGTTAGCAACAAACCATTTGTGTAAACGAAGTAGAAATTAAATGCATATATATTATAAAAAGCAGATCATGCAAATTACATATGTTGTCTATGTACAATTTTGAAGTTAAGTTAGATGGCAAACTTAACTTCTTTCCCGTGGCAAAGTGATTTTTTAATTAAATGCAACACATTTAATCTTATGTATTAACTCGTTTCATCTGACTCCATAAAATGAAAAGGTTTATCAATGATATCTGTACATCTTTTAATACGCTAATGCTCAACTATTCCTTTTAACTCTAATGAAAATAAAGTCAAAGTATGTTAGAATAATCAATTATAACAATTTATTATGTCAGGTAAATGTATTATTACAATTTCATAAGATAACCAATGCAAACCATCAAATATTTCTAGAACAAAGAAGAATCCTTTTACCTGACGAGGGTACGTGAGCTGGGAGTAAAGCCTCACGGACTGATCTGAAAACAAACAACAGCCCAAAACCCTTGTTGCATTTCCCTTATAAAGCGCTCATTTCATATTTAAGTTCCAGTGGAAATTTACTAGAAGGTAACCATTTGCTTAGTTGTAAATTGCATTCAGACAAAAGGCCAGAAGGTGTTAACTCAAAGACACACCCTTCTGTGTGCAAGATATTTCTATATTCTTAAAAACCTACCTTTTCTTTTACTTCTTTGGAAATGAGACATTATTACCAGTCACCCTATGACCTTCAAAAAGATATCATTAAAGATTATCACATTCACATTAAAAACATATTCTTGTGTGAGCGATTTCTGCAAGTGTGTGTGTGTGTGTGTGTGTGTGAGAGAGATGTTCACATGTTAATTTGAAAGCAAGGTCTTTGTTGCTTTGTCTTCAGATGACTCTGGGAAAACTGAGTTTCAGTTTTCTAGTCTTAAAATAGTGATCAATTTTTCTTCATGTCTTGGATCACTCCTACCAGGGATTATACTTGAAGCCGTTGGCAGACCCTTAACCAAAGGCTTCCACAACCCTTTTTTCTGAACAAGCTAATTTAGGCCAATTTTGGACCATTTAGTCTCATTGAGTCAAACACCCACAGATTTTCAAACAGGTCAAACATAATGAAGCAGATTCCATTCCACCCTAGACCTGCACTGCATCCAGACTTTTCTTTGGACCTTAAAATGGCTGAAATTAAACCTACAAAAGGTCATCACCTCTAGACCAGCTGCAGAAATAGACATTTTATTTGTTACAAAACAACTTGACAGTTGCATTCTTTGCATTTTTTACACTCACATTTAGAACTGCATAGAATCTTGGCTTTTTAATAGATCACTCATTAAATAGTGTATACATTTTTAATAGGGATGTGAATTTCTGCCAAAAATGGCATTCGAAAATCGAGGAGCAAAAGTCGATTATCGTTCGAAAATCGGAGAAAAAAAAAAAAACGCACTCACACAATAACAGAAAGGGAGGCTAATTCCATCTTTAGCGATTTATTAATTGAACAAGTGACATGTTTTCGTCATTTTTTTAACACAGAAGAATAATTGGAAGAAGAAAAAACTAAAAGCACAAAAAACGATTTTGCATCGACAAACCAGATGCTCGCTCGATCAAAAAATAATATCATGTAATAATGTTTTTATGCGAACCTGCCTTGTAACCGGCAACAGCCGACTTTTTAAACAAATTCGTTTCGATGAAGATAAACTATTCATAGCATAACGCTTATGTCATATTCTTGTTCAGAAAAATTAGCATGTCATCAACATGTTCTGGAAGGAGACGCGAGCGCAACCTGTTGACGATTAGTCCAGCCGCGGAGAACACCCGCGCGGATGGCACAGATGTCGCAGGCACACTCAAGTAGGAGATTGCTAACTTTTCCAGGCGGGGATATTTCTTCGCGTTGGCCTTCCACCATGTTATGGGATCAGCGTTCATTGGTGGGCATACTGTATCTTGGCAGTATTGCAAGAGTTCGGTTGTCGCTGTTGCTGTCTGCTCGATGTTATCCTCGCCAAACAAGACCGCAATCGCTGCAGCAGAGAGGGCGTCATTTTGTGGATTTTTAGCCGCCGGTGGTTCAGTAGGCATTTCTCCCGATTCCCGATTCAGTGCATTCACGACAGTGCTCTTCTTCTGTTGTTTGTTTACACTATGTTCAAAAAGCTGGTATCCTAGATCGCCCAGTAGTGGGTTTCATGCATGTTAGTGACACCTTGTGTCCCTAACAGGAAAATACCTTGCTCCGCGATCTGTGTCAGTAGGCGCTGCGTCAATTATGTTAAATACACATTGGAATTATTGCACGAAAATATAACGATATTCGAAAAAGCTATTTTATGATCGAAGTTCGAACGCATTTCGACTATTCGACCATTCGAAGATCGTGACTCATCCCTAATTTTTAATTAATATTTTAACTAAAGCCAGTTATGCTTGTTTTCTCTAATATTTTGTTTTAACGTGAAACAACAGCGTATAATGAGGCAACACTGCTTGTGTACAGTTTATGCAATGTATTGAAACAATAAATATTATATTCTTTTTCTGACAGGGAGACATGGGAGAGCAGGGGCCAAAAGGTGACACCGGAGAGAAGGTCAGGCTGAACATAATATCTATACATATTTAATAGTATAAACATGCTGAACTATAACATGATTAACTGGGGGTGTATGGACCGTGATATTGTGACATTGCTAATCATAGAACATCATTACTACACTGTGGACTGTGAAATTAAATTCACAAAGATTAAAATAATTCAGTCAAATTGTTTTATGCTGAAGAGTGTACTATTCATTAGGGCCCAAGCCCTGAAAGGGCGAAGGCCCTATTGTTTTCCATAGGATTATTATTAGGGCCCAAGCCCTGAAAGGGCGAAGGCCCTATTGCTTTCCTTAGGATTCTTATTAGGGCCCAAGCCCTGAAAGGGCGAAGGCCCTATTGTTTTCCTTCCGATTATTAGGGCCCAAGCCCTGAAAGGGCGAAGGCCCTATTGTTTTCCTTAGGATTATTAGGGCCCAAGCCCTGAAAGGGCGAAGGCCCTATTGTTTTCCTTAGGATTATTAGGGCCCAAGCCCTGAAAGGGCGAAGGCCCTATTGTTTTCCTTGGGATTATTAGGGCCCAAGCCCTGAAAGGGCGAAGGCCCTATTGTTTTCCTTAGGATTATTTATTATTAGGGCCCAAGCCCTGAAAGGGCGAAGGCCCTATTGTTTTCCTTGGGATTATTAGGGCTGTAGCAAATGCAACATTTAATAATATACATCAAATGTATTTAAGGGGCCGAAGGCCAATTTAGCTCAAAGGGAAATGATTCATTGATTTGCAATGAATCTATGGAACCGAATCACTGAAACGAGCAAATGACTCGCTTAGAATTCATTTCAACGGGCCGCAATTATAACCAAAGTGAAACACTATGTCTTAGCAAGGTAACTTTAGATCGAACAGTACAAGACATTAAATGTGCAAACACGACACAAGAAGATTTATCTTTTCAAATATATGGAAGACTTTATTAGCTATTCTAAACACAACTAAGGTCTAAACATAATCACGCACATACACACACATTCATACAGCCGCGAAAGGGAAAGAGTGAGTTGGAAAGAGTGAGAGAGAAAGTTTCAACTTTCTATATGCACGTAAGACATAACCTGAAAGGACCACCAAGCATTAATTTGAACCTTCATTTCTTAGAGAGGTTATTCAATTAACATTAAAGCACCAGTTCAGTTAGAGCCTGGAGTACTTGCACTTTGTAGTGGCTGAGGGAATTCCCTTTGTCTGCGTAGCGTCGAAGGGGGGGTTTCCCGGCCGGGTCCGTTGCGTGGTTTGTTGTCTTTGATGTGCAGGGATGGAAGTTCCTGGGTTTGCTGGTCACGTGTGACTAGCAGCCGAATGAAAAGTCTTTACGATTTCGAAGCGCGTTGCGGAGAGCCGTTTAAAACGAAGTTTTGCAGCAAACTTAACCAGTTAACCTTCGGACACCCGACGGCGCTCTGAGCTGTATTTATTGTTATCCAGGCATGTCATTTTAAGCTGTGAGCCCCCTTGTGGAGCTGAAGGTTAACAGGTTAAAAAAAAAACCATCACACATTTCCAAATCAGGACTCAAAGACAAATTCGGAAACGGATCATCATTCTTTGGTTGAATACAATCTTTCTTCAAAGTCTTTTAACATTTCTAACTTTTCTTTGGTAATGATTTTTTTCCATTTAAACAACAGCTGAGTTACCACACGTGTTGACCTCATCTTCAACTTCTCTTCCATTGCTTTAGAGTCAGATAAATCATGTCCAGTTATACGAACTAGGCTTCCAAGAGTAACGATTTTAGATTTAAATGAGTATGTCCATCAAAGCAGGAAAACATCCCTCCTTTGACACATCCAAACGTTGTCCACAAATCAACAGTTCTTGAAGAGTCCAGTACAAATAGTCCGTTATTTCACTTCTCGATATTTTAAAAAGTGACCATACTTTGAATAAATTACAATAAAAAATAGGTAACTTAGATACAGAAAACTTCTTAAGGTTCGTCCAGAACAAAGACTTGTCAAGACCCAGGCCTTCAAAGTTCCTAAAAATAATGGAAGCAACCAAACTCCAATTCTCATTCTCAGAACTTTCAAAAAAACCTTTGTATATACTTTAGCCAAAAGGCGGCCACTCGACTCTGTAGATGAATCAGACCTTGTTCCCCTTCATTTTTAGGCAGATACAAAACACTTTGTGGCACCCAATGTAAATTATCCCCAAAAAAATTAACTAAAATAGATTGAATTTTTTTCAGAAGAATTACTGCTGGGTCAATACATGCTAGCCAATGCCAAAGAGTAGAGGCTGCCAAATTGTTAATAATTAACACCCGCCCTCTATATGACATGTTAGAATGTAAAAACTTCCATTTATTCAAACGACCCACAATTTTTCTCTTCTATCCTCTCAAAATTCTTCTTTACAGTTATATCGTCTTCCAAATACACACCTAAATATTTAAACCCATCTCTGCTCCACTTTAACCCCGCAGGGAGACTGGGTTGTCCATGAGACCACTTTCCAACCAAGATAGCCTCACTTTTATTCCAATTTACTCTAGCGGAGGAAACAAGCATAAAATCCCTTAAAATCTTTGTTATCTTTGACACATTGCTGTGTTATTTAATGAAAATAACAATATCATCAGCATAAGCTGATAGTTTAAATACTTTTTCAAAATTTGGAATAGTTACACCCTTTAAATCTGCTCTAAACTTCTGTAAAAGGGGTTCAATTGTTAAACTATATAACATACCAGAAAGAGCACAGCCTTGCCTGATACCTCTAAAAACACTAAAGGGGGCACATAAGTCACCATTTACATTCAGTAAACTTTCAACATCACAATAAAGAGCTTTTAACTTATCAATGAAAATGCTATTAAACCCAAAAGCTTCTAAAACCTCCCATAAATAACTATGTTCAATTCTATTGAACGCTTTCTCTTGATCTATTGAAATCAAACCAAAATCCACATCAAAGAGCTTACTGATGTCAAACATTTCTCTAACAAAAGAAATATTATCGGAAATTTGCCTTCCTGGCACACAATAGGTCTGATCAGTATGAATGACCTCTTCCAAAACCCCACTCAATCTATTTGCCAATGCCTTGGACAGAATTTCATAATCACTACATAGCAATGACACAGGCCTCCAGTTTTTTATTTCACTCAGGTCTCCCTTCTTGGGCAGTAAAGTCAACACTGATCTATGGCAGCTCAATGGTAATCTTCCACTGTTTAGACTTTTGTTGATGACTGCAAGCAGATCAGCACCAATCTCAGGCCAAAAAGATTTATAAAAGTCTACAGATAGGCCGTCTATACCTGGTGCTCTGCCGCCTTCCATGCCTTGAAGAGCTTTCCTCAGCTAACGTTATCTAACAGAGACCGGTGTTCGCCTCTTCAGTCACCTGAGGAAGATCCTCAATAAACACATTAGTGTTTGACCTGTGTGTAAGTTCACTACTATATAGTTCTTTATAAAATTCTACCACTCTATTCTGAATTTCTGTATGATTTGACAAGAGTACACCATCCTTAGAACGCAAATCATGTATACATCTTTTTTGGCCATTTTTCCTTTCCAGATTAAAAAAAAATTGGAAGATACATCCATCCACTCTATATTCTTAAACTGGGATCTGATCAGAGCCCCTTGTGCTTTCAAGTCTAAAATTCCTGCCAATTCCTTGCTTTTTCAATTTAAAATTTCAATAAGCTCTTGATTTTGTTCAGTGCCAATAGATTCTTGTAGTTTCTTTATATCATTTTCTAGATTTACCATTGAAATATTTATTTATTTAGATGTTGTAAGCGTACTGTTGATTTAACAAGCAATTCTCTCATCCCTGACATTTTAAATACAACAATACACCCTATCGTTATCTCGGATCATGCGCCAATTACTATGACTATTAATAACAGAAATGATACAAAAAAAAAAAAAAAAAAACTTTTAGATGGAGGATGAGTATCTCATTACTTCAAGACAACGAGTTTAATGAATACTTTAAAAAAGAATGGGCATTTTTCATAGAAACAAATACACCAGACATCTCTGCCGCAATCCTCTGGGAGACAGCTAAAGTTGTACTTAGAGGAAAGATAATATTGTACTCTACATACAAACACAAAAAGGAACAAAGTCAAGAAAAAGAATTAGAAAATAAAATACACAATATTTACTCTCATAATCCCAATGAACAGACTCTACAGGAAATAAATAAAACAAAAGATGAACATAATGACATTATAAATAAAAGGATGGAATTTCAAAAACAATGCCTTAGACATAAACATTTTGAAAATAATGACAAATCAGGTAAATATCTTGCTAATCTACTCAAACGTAATAGAGAAAAGACACTTATCCCGGTAATCAATAATCCACAAGGAAAGACACTCCACTCCTCACAAGATATCAATGATACTTTACGTACATTTTATAAACATCTATACAGTAATACAAAAGAACCAAAAATTAACGACACCAAATCATTTCTTAACAATTTATCTTTACCCAGTCTGAGCACAACACAAAGAGAATCATTAGAAGAACCTATATCAGAAACTGAATATAAACAAGCCCTTGATTCTCTGTCAAACAATAAAGCTCCAGGTTTAGATGGATACCCACCAGAATTTTACAAACATTTTTGATCAACTATATCACCATTATTCTTGCGAATGACAGCAGAAATTAAAAACACTTCTTCCATTCCACCGCACATGAATACATCGCTAATTTCAGTCCTGCTTAAACCAAACAAAGACCCAATGTTATGCACTAGTTATCGCCCATTATCTCTTCTAAATACTGACTTAAAAATCATAAGTAAAGGTTTGGCTACACGTCTTGAAACCGTAATTTCATCTCTGATCCATCCAGACCAAACAGGTTTAATCAAAGGACGCCAGTCATCAAACAATTCCAGACAATTATTCAACATTATGAACCTATGTAATCAAAAAAAAAAAAAGACATTAATCATATCACTAGATGCAGAAAAAGCTTTTGATAAAGTTAATTGGCACTTTCTGTATATGACAC